TGTTGTCTAACAATCTGCATTTGATTATCTCAAACATAGAATTTTCTGATAAGCAGTACAGGGTGTCTATTGAGGTTCCTATCTGCTTAATTTTATTCTCAATCCCTCTTAACCATCCTGATGTTTGGTATTCAGCTATCATTTCTGTAACCAGACTGTTAGATTTAACTCTATAATGCAGCCACTAGCAGAACTTAAATATCAGCAGCCTTGCTTTTGTTATTAAAATTCTTTGGTTTGTTTTAGGCATAGGGCAGTGTAGGGAACATAATTTGGTAGAAAGAAAGAAAGAAAGAAAGAAAGAAAGAAAGAAAGGAAGGAAGGAAGGAAGGAAGGAAGGAAGGAAGGAAGGAAGAAAGAAAGAAAGAACTTGAGGGGAAAGTGATTGAAGTCTTTTAGTAGCCTGATTGAAGGCATTTATCCGTACTGATATCTGATATAGTGGTTGGCATTAAACACCCTCAGGACTGCTGGAACATACTGGCCCCCTTTAGAATAATAGAAATGAATCATAGAATCATAGAGTTGGAAGAGACCACACGGGCCATTGAGTCCAACCCCCTGCCAAGCAGGAAACACCATCAGAGCACTCCTGACATATGATTGTCAAGCCTCTGCTTAAAGACCTCCAAAGAAGGAGACTCCACCACACTCCTTGGCAGCAAATAAATGAGTGGTCACTGACACACTACTTTTAGTACTTTTAGGCACTTCCATCGGCACTCCAAAGTGTATTGCAACCTCTGGCAAATTGTACATAAAGCCTGTGGGGTGCAATTCACAGTGTTTCAAAATGAAGAGTGTTTAGAGTTATATATTTAAGTAATGTTTATTTAGAATAAAACCATTAACTTATTCTGGATGTAGAAAGTATACAAATGATCAATACAAAAAAAAAATCTGCAAAGCTCTGGGTTAGGGTGCAGGAGTAAGAAACATGAAACAAAGAAGTTTCAAGGCTCTACCCTCTGGAAAAAAGAGAACATTGACCACTTAACACAAAAGGGGTTAAGAGTTGTCTAGCTCTTCTCTCCAAACTGCCAATCCTTTGTAAAAATGAACATTTTGAGGCAAACAAGCACATTGGGAAATCTGAGAAACTGTCATAGACAGCAAAAAATTCTCAGTGTGCATTTTAATGCTGCGATATATTCCCTTAGAATTCTTTTAAAACTTCTCAGTCAAATGGTAATAGACTGAAATGTGAGGTTGACACCACCACTCCAGACAAAACAATATATGAGCAGGTTGTTTTTGTTTGTTTGTAACTGGTTTAATGGATGGTATCCATCTTGGGAGACAATGGAGAAGTGCACCCTTGAGGGTAAAGTCAAACTTTTGGAAGTTATAATCTGCTCACAGAGCCAACCTATCACATCATATCCTATTAAGGAGCAAAAGGGGCATGTGGTTGCTGTGTGAATAATATGTTTGTTTTTAAAAATGCCTCTCTGCTTGGAGACCAAACTTTGCAGAAGTAATTATCTCCTCCTGCAATTATCATAATCAGTATATTCATTTAACCGGTTAATTTCCTAGAGGTTTTCCAGAAGACACTAGAAAACAAGGAAGAAGAAACACTGAACATTGTTAGAAATAACCTGTAGTGCAAGTAAGACGTCAGACAAGGGGCAAGAGGCAGGCAGTGCTCTGTTAGTTTCACCGTTGATATTTTCCATTTTATTCATACTCACCAGTTTTAATTTAGAAACTCTGGTGCTCTCAGCTATTCAAGACATTAATTTCTATCTCTCTTGATGCAAAAGAAATGCTTAAATGTCTTTAGAGGCGTGTAGCAGGTTCACTGACAACCAATTTAGCCTGTTTCTATCAGGTAGTTACTGAGATTGACTGATCTCAGGATGCTGCAGCTACTGATGATATATTTCCTGCTTATGCTGGAATGTAAAGTAGACACTATAAAATGCCCCCTGAATGAGCCTTCTGCTTTACATGAGTGGAATCAGCAAGGTAGCCTCCTCATTGGTGGGATGGCTTCTCAGATAATCTACTATTTTAATGAACGGCATTTTCATGAGCATCCTTCTAATGAGTTGTTTCAATTTCCAAAGTAAGAAATTCTCTTTTTTCTGCATCATTGTGTCTTGGAGATATATTTCAGGCTTTACAAAAAATATCACAATTGGGGAAAATTTGTAATACAAATCTTTGAGCAAATGAAAGGGTATGTAAAAGGGCTCTGAATAATCTCATAGTTTAACAGAATTGTTCTTGCTTTTTTAAAAAATAAGCTAAATATTTGTGTTGTGATAGGACAATATCCAGGGCACAGGGGTATTTCTGATGGTATTTCTTTGTCTCAAACATCAGTGCTAAAAAGGATCTGATAAAGCTGATCCACTTTGCTGAGCATTTACTATTCACACATTAATAAGCTAGAGATGTCAATGTAATCATGAGTTCTCCAATTTTTGTTGCCAGGCAAACAAGTTGCTTGTGCCATACTCATGTGTTATCATCTATTGTACTAGCCATTGCATATATGTTGCCATAAACACATGTTGAAGTGAGTGGTTAGCTCAGTTGGTTAGAAAGTGGTGCTGATAATGCCAAGATTGTGGGTTCAATTGCAGTCTGGGCAAGCTGCATATTCCTGCATTGCAGGGGGTTGGATGAGAATATAATCCATGTACCTTCCAACTCTACAATTCTATGATTCAATTATAATGCTCAGGGAAAGCATGAATTGCTCTTATTTGCTGAGTATGCTGTACCAATACTGAATTTAGAAGGGCTGTAAGATTTGGCATTTCCATTTCCAGGTAGGGCTAGAAATGTATCTGCCTGATAACTTCATGTTCCATCCACTGAAAATGCTTGTTGTTCAGAAGCCAAAGACCTGTATCGGAGGGAGCTAGACGAGAAGACCCTCCAGGTCCCTTCCAACTCAACAATTCTATGATTCTATGTATTCTATCGGCAGCATGGTGACAAAATTCTACCAGCATGTTCTTGCCTTGGCATTTGCCATAAATGAGATCAATGAGAACCCCAAGATTTTGCCCAATGCTACACTTGGATTCCATATTCATGACAGCTACTATGATGCACGAGTGACCTATCTTGCCACTTTAGATATGCTCTTCAAATCACATAGATTTGTCCCCAACTACAACTGTGATACGCGGAAAAAAGTCATAGCTGTCATTGGTGGACTTGGTTCTGATACCTCTTCCCTTATGGCGGACATTTTAGGTCTCTTCAAGATACCACAGGTAAGATGTATGAATGGGGTGTTGGTATTTTCAGGGAAAACAAACTATTGACCTGTGTCGTTCTTACTGTGATTTTGTCCTTCAGATAGAGGGGAGAATATGTGTGTGAGTGAGAAATCTCCTAATAGACTTACCAGATACAGTGGTACCTCGGGTTAAGTACTTAATTCGTTCTGGAGGTCCGTACTTAACCTGAAACTGCTCTTAACCTGAAGCACCACTTTAGCTAATGGGGCCTCCTGCTGCTGCCGCGCCACCAGAGCACAATTTCTGTTCTCATCCTGAAACAAAGTTCTTACCCTGAAGCACTATTACTGGGTTAGCAGAGTCTGTAACCTGAAGTGTATGTAACCTGAAGCGTATGTAACCCGAGTTACCACTGTATTGATAAAATTCTGTTTGATGAATCATTGACTCTTATTGACCCAAGACATTGCCCCAAAACATATGTTTTGAATAAAACATAGACATTTTCACAGAGAAAGCTCCCAATCTGCCTGCCCAATATATGCACTTTTAAAAACTTCCATTTCCTGCAGAGAAGGAGGACAAAATTATGGTTCTTCTTTTTTCAGCATGGTACCCAATGGAAACCATCAAGATGTTAGCCTTCATTATTTAGAGACATAAACTAGCGCATTTCAATAAAGACTTCCCCTCCAGAACAAAGGGCAAACTGACCTTCCACATATATTAATAAATTGGTTTTATAAATACAGTGGAGCAAAAGCATATCCCACTCATCCACAAGAGTAAATTTAGCAGCCTAGTTAATAGTAAGTATATCATTGTTTGTAAGCAATTTATGTATTTAATCCAGGAGAGGTCTGTTTGACAAGACATTGAAGATAGTGATGAGAAATTTATGTCTTGGATCCTCATACGAGGGAGAGCTTAGCTGATAGCCTGCTAGTATAGAGCAGCATATAAATTCAATAAATAATAATAAAATAATAATAATAATAAAATTGCAATATATCTTCAACTTCACTGGGCTCACAAATAACAAATTTTGTAGTTTGGGACACTGTTAAATGCCACATACAAGTAAACAGGAGGGATAAAATGAAGCCACAGAGTTGTGAATGATTTTCTTAAAGGACCTGCAGGAAGCAACTTTGTAAAATAAAGCTCCACAAAAAATCTCATTTTATATAATGGATAGTAAAACAACTGTTTTAAAAACAAGTGTACTTTAACCAGTTAATACATCAAAGGCATCAAAAAGAAGCAAGTAAGATACTACTAGAATGAACAAGAACTTGTAAGTACAAATAGCATTACAGCAGATTAAAGACAACATAGGTTTGGTTATTATCATTAAACATATGATTGCAAAATATTACAAAAATACAAAATTTTACATATATTTATTAGATTGATTTATACAAATTCTACCCATTCAAAGTCTGTAGGGGGTACACCCCCACACTTCTTATAAATCATTATTCTTACAGTTTTATAATAATTGATATCTATTTTGAAACATTCACCAAAATAATATTCTTCAAATAATGAAAAAGAAAACTTAAGGTTGTAAAGTTACAAGCTATTCCAATTTCACAGAATGAATCTGTTCATACCCCAGATGGAGATCTTGACATTAGTGCTATAGCCCCATGTTCCAGCCACTGAAAATAAAAGCCAATGCATTTATCATTGCAAGAGAGTCTTCAGCAATGTCTGTACATTTTCTTCTAGCTCACCTATGGCTCCTTTCCCACAGAGGAAAGCGATACAGGTCACATCCATTCCTACTACAACATGGTCCCAAATGAAGCCTATCAGTACAAGGGGATTATCAGTTTACTGAGGCATTTCAGATGGAACTGGGTGGGGCTCTTTGTTGTAGATGATGAGAGTGGAGGATATTTTCTGAAGACATTGGAGCCATTACTTTCCCAACATGGTATCTGTTCAGCTTTCACGCAAAGAATCCCACCGGAAGCACGTTTGGATGACATTGACCACATTATCGACTTAATCTCACACAATTATGTATATTTCACAGATAACAAAGCCAATACATTCATCATCTATGGAGAGTCTATGACAATGGTATGGTTGAGAAATATTATGTTTGTACGAGATCCTGAAAGTAAGGAAACTGCATCATTTAGAAAGGTGTGGATCATGACAACTCAAATTGATTTATTATTATCAGGCTCTCAAAAGGGTTGGGATCTTCAGTTGTTCCAAGGTTCAATTGCCTTTACAATTCACTCACAGTACGTTCCAGCATTCACGGAATATCTTCAGAAAGTTAGACCTTACTGGACTGAAGGAGATGGATTTGTCAATGATTTTTGGGAGCAAGCATTTGATTGTTCATTTACAAATCCCGATGGACCGGCAAATGACATTGAAAGATGTACTGGGAAGGAGAAGCTGGAAAGTCTTCCTGGTCCTCAGTTTGAGATGCTCCTGAGTGGCCACAGCTACAGTATCTATAATGCAGTGTATGCCGTAACTCATGCATTGCATGTTGTTTACTCAGCTAGAACCAAGCACAGAGCAATGGCTGGTTGGGACAAATTTGAACTTCAAGATCTGCAGCCATGGCAGGTAATTTCATCACACCTCTTTTATAATAATATTTATTTTTCATACATAAACATAACGGAAAAAGAAAAAGTTGACAATAATAAAGGAGAAAGAATAAAACAGGAAAAAAGAAAAAAGAATATGAAACATACAATACAACAGATCATCACTTGACTAACAATTAATTAATTAAAATCCATCTTCATAAACATATTATTTGGCTTCCTCAAATATCTTCCATCTGAATTTCTTAGTAATTATATATAGCAGTTTCCAATATCATTATTTCATAAACCATATTGCAGTCATAATCATATTTCCTTACTTTTCTTTTTGTACATTTTCTTATTTATATATTTAATTCCAATTTAATCCTAGCCCTAATTTATTCTTTCAAGGGATTACATATCTTTAATGTTATAATATTTATTCAAATAGTCTTTGAATTTCTTCCAATCTTCTTGGTGTTCCTTTTCTTTCTGGTCACGGATTCTCCCGGTGAGATCAGCCAGCTCCATAAACTCCATCATCTTCACCTGCCATTCTTCTACCGTTTCTCTCTGTCAACACACACACACACACACACACACACAGAGAGAGAGAGAGAGAGAGAGAGAGAGAGAGAGACTCTTAAAAGCATATTAGTTCTACATCAATAAATACGTCATCCATAAATAGCTGATCAAATGGTCAGTGGCAAGGAGGAGCCCAAGGTAGCACTGGCACAGCAACCAGGACTTAATGAGGGTCCCTGGAATTTGGGGGACAGTTCCGTAAACAATTAGATTTCATTCATAATAATTAAAACAGTAAATTTTTGGTTCCCTGTTTGTGTGGGGAGCAAAAGCTGCCAAGAAATGCCAAAGGATTTATGGCTATGCTTCTACTGTCTGTAGCAATTTCAGTCAATGAGCATGGGGGGAAAATACAGGGAAAGCTTTACCTTGGCAACAGCTGGCAGTTGTAGTTGCTATAGCATTAATAGAAAGGAATGCAGCCCCTGAAATGCTGGAATATATTCTTGTGGTGTGCAACCTTATATATGTCTACTCAGAAATAAGCTTCATTGTATTAAATGGGAAATGTATAGGACTGCAGGTAGTGTACAGGACTGCCTGTGAAAGGAATGCGCCGCCAGACATAGAACTTAAGAGATATGATTTTCTGGATATTATTTTGTTTCTTTGTTTTTTCAATTAGCTCCACCCAATCCTTTGTGACATTTCATTCAACAACTCAGTGGGAGAAACAATCTCCTTTAATGCTAAAAGGGAAATGGGAGGTGGATTTGACATTACCAACATGGTCACATTTCCAAACAAGTCCTTCCAGAGAGTGAAAGTTGGACATGTGGGCCCTAATGGTGGCGAAGGACAAGAGTTCATCATTGACGAGGACATAATCACTTGGCATAGTGGTTTCAATCAGGTATGGATTCTAGGCTATTCTGAGTGTTGGGGTGGTGGAGGATATTTTCTTTGCTGCCTACAATGATGGTTTATCAGATTATGGTAGTGTTCCCGAACTTGGTGCTCCTTTTTGGCTCTGGTTTTGGTCATGACTTTTGTTTATGCTGTTTGGAGCTGATGGGATTTGGAACACAATATCTTAAATGTACCACATTGCTGGAGACAGCTTTGAAATGTAGCCTGATCTACCTAGTAACTTCCTTATTAAAGTTATTGCGTTTAAACCACAATTTCTAAGGGAGCAATCATAATGCAAGATCTCCTGGGATGCGTAGGGTCAGGATTCAGTGGATATCCAAGCTGAGCCAGGAGTTTTCTGGTGCAGCTTCACCACATGGTGTAACTCCCCATCCTCAACTCAACTGGCAAAACACCAGCATCTCTCTCCCATCCCTGCTCACCTGTGACCCAGATGTCTGATCCAAACACAGTGGACCTTATCCTTGAGTAAACTCTGAAAATGAGGCTTTCCATGGTTGGGACCAGAAAGGGTGGGAGTTAGGATGAATCTGAATCGTGGTCAACTCAGTCATGTGACCTAGCACGATGGTGTAAGCTAAGATGGAACAAAGGGCTTGGTAACTCAAAATGCTATTGTAAAGGCTTATTTCCCTTTTCTAGGTTTAACCTAGCTCAACAAGACATAGCCCTGCTCATGAATGGAGCAAGGCTCCTGTGTACTCTGCACTAGGTTGCTCTCTGTCAGCTTATTGTATATAGGATTGCTCACCTAAAACCCTGCACCCTGTTTCAAAACAATGTTAGTTAATTATTTCAGTGGATGTTGCCCAAATGTTGTTTGTTTGTTTGTTTGTTTGTTTCCCAACATATATTATAACAAAGTCTCAAAGTGGTTTACATTAGTTACTTTTAAAAATAAATAAATGATATTTATTGAGAATTTTAAAATTACAAAGAAAAAAGAAGGAAAAAACAAGTGAAATAGAAAAAGGAAGAAAAAGGTAGATAAAAATAACAATTAAACAATACAAATCAATAAAAGCCAAAGTCAAAAAGAAAAAACAAAACACACAATACATCAAAAGCAAAAAGCAAAAATAAACAAAAAATTTAAGAACAAATCCAATATTCCCAAATCCTTAACTTTCATTAACTTATTTCATTGACCTCCTCACACCTCCCTTTTTTGTATTCTAGTTGTTAATTATCTCAGCAAATCCTTTCCATCTTTCACAATATTCTGTCATTTAATTACCTTAATCTATTTTAACCTTATTTTACCATAAAAAACCCTAAAACTTAAAGCTTATTTACACCAACTTCTTTTAACCATAACATATTCTTACATAATTCTTTTTAACGTTTCTGCTAAAGCCAAATAATTTCATTCCAACATTTTTCTAATACTCATTAATTTTACGATACTTTTCCAAATAAATTTTTATAACTTTCTTCCAATCTTCATCCATCGTCTCTTCTTCCTGGTCTCGGGTTTTGTCAGTCCTTTCTATCCCATCCATCTGGTCCATCAACCTGGTAACCTTATATCCGAGGCTCTTAAGTCTTTTCCATGTCCCTTCTGCAGGTCTTCTTCATGTTATACCTGTACTTTACTTTGTCTTCTGCTGATCTTATTCTTAATTTCCTTCCTTTCACTCGGGGAGACTCCAACTTGACAATATCTTTGTCCCTTCTCGACAAGTCAGCCCCTTTTCCATAGTCAACACTGAAATCCATGTGATATTTAAAGGTATGTTTCAAAGTCCCTCCAAAGTTGAGGGCCCCCACAACTCCGAACTGCCCCCGACCCAAAGCCAGACTCGAAATGTCAAAACATCCCTGCATAGGGGGATCCATCCAGCCCCCCATCTCCAAGCCAAACAGAACTCCATCTCTCCAAATCTGACTTTTTCCAGGTTCATTCATCAAATCCAACAACTCATGTTCCTGCTGGGCCGCAGCTCTCTCCATATCTGTTACTTGAGGTTCAGCAACAACCTCCTCCTTTATCTGATCTGTCAAAGCACATTCCTGGGTTAATTCCTGAGTGGGTTCTATATAGGTACCCACTGCCTGTCCAAAATTTCCGATCGCAACAGTCATCAAATCCATCTTCTCATGTAACTGTTCCAATAAAGCACTTGTCTTGCAAAGAGCAAGCACTAAAGCCTCCTCTAAGCACATTCTTGTTCAAGGTCGAAGTCTGGTCCCACGATCTTTAATCTCTACAGCTGCAAAGCTCCTCAGTTCGACTCTAATAACAGTTTCACAAGCTCCCTCTAGGGGAAACAATTTCTATTTGTATCCATCTTTTTTTTTTTTAAAAGGCAGATCTAGCAACAAAGTTTTCCTTTTTCGGATATTTTATTCCTTTTAAATGCGAAAGGGAACAATGGAATCAATATGCTTCTCTTCTTTTGACTATCTGTCAAAAACGTTTGTCCATGGTCAACGAACTTCCCCAAAACGTCTGTCCTGACACCCCGCTCCCAGGTTCAAGACGGTGGAAATTTACCTTTCTTTACTCTCTCTTCTGCAGGTTTAGACAGTCTAAAAAAGGTTCCCCCCTCTTCTCCTGCTTCCAAGGGGGGTTCAGTAATTTTAAATGATGAAAATTTAATCCTTTACAAGCGGCTTTCCAGACTCTAGCTTGCCGTGTCTTTGCTTCAATCTATTTACAAAAGCGGAAGGCGGACTTCCTGTTTAGACCTTCCCGCTTCGGTGCCAAATTAAGAAATTTCATAGTCCAATTTTCCGTTCTACTCATGGGCAGTTGTTTAAAATCCTATTGTCCACAGGAAAAAGTCAGCGCTCTTGGCAACAGCAACATTAGTTACTAATTACTCCTATCCTAAATTCTGTTCATGGATAGGGCCTTCCCCTTTCTATTTGTAATGAACACTGCCTCCCTGGTAATCAGAAGAAAAAGAAGGAAGGAGAAAAGTTCTGCTGTTATGATTGTGCTTTATGCCCAGAAGGGGAGATTTCAAACCAGACAGGTGGGTAATGCAGTATTCCATTTCTTTCATTGTACAGCATTAATTATTATTATTATTATTATTATTATTATTATTATTATTATTATTATTATTATATCATTTATACCCCGTCCTTCTGGGTGGGTTTCCCCAGCCACTCTGGGCAGCTTACAACATATCTAAAAACATAATAAAAGCATCAATCATCCTTAGCTGACTAAATTCAAAAGTGATTGTCAAGGTGAGTTTGTGACCTATTAAACTGTTCTTCTTGGAATGGGATGAGAACCTTTCCTTGCTGACTTCAAATTCTGCTCCGTTCTGTGCATATTTACTTTGAAGTAAGCACCATTCTGATAAACTAAGTTTACACCCTGCTCATGGGTAATTGATGAATAAAGATGCTGATAAATGTAGCCGAGTTGAAACAATGGGCCACATTCTTAAATTTAACAAAAAACCTTAAGGGAAAAAACTATTAGTGCAGAATGTGGTTAAGATAACACCAGGCAATAACTACACTTGCCAGAGCAAGGACAAGTGATTCTGCCTACCCAATTACTACAGTCATGCAATGAAGGTGAGTAAGGAAGCCTTACAGCATTACAACCACCCCACTGCCCCAACGCTTGGGGGTACTGAAGTTAGTTGGGCCCAAAGGTGGCTTGCATCGTACTCCAAGTCCTATAATCCTAAACTGCAAACCCAGACATAAGCCCATCAACCTGAAAATTCCTAAGCAGGTCACAAAGCTTACCTGATCCTCAAACCTCACACATATACTATGTAAAAAAGATGTAAGTTTACAACCACCCTTTCTCTCCCTACCTCTTTCTTCTCCCCCAACTGTATACAACATTAAACTCTCACATTGAATATTACTTACCTGTAGAGAATCTGTAGGGAATCTAGAGTAGTATCATGCTTTAAGACAGATTAAAAACAAAGGTATATACTTTAAACACAACTAACATAAATACCAGTACGCGGGTGGCGCTGTGGGTTAAACCACAGAGCCTAGGACTTGCCGATCAGAAGGTTGGCGGTTCAAATCCCCGCAATGGGGTGAGCTCCTGTTGCTCGGTCCCTGCTCCTGCCAACCTAGCAGTTCGAAAGCATGTCAAAGTGCAAGTAGATAAATAGGTACCGCTCCGGCAGGAAGGTAAACGGCATTTCCGTGCACTGCTCTGGTTCTCCAGAAGCAGCTTAGCCATGCTTGCCACATGACCTGGAAGCTGTATGCCAGCTCCCTCAGCCAATAAAGCGAGATGAGTGCCGCAACCCCAGAGTCGGTCACAACTGGACCTAATGGTCTGGGGTCCCTTTACCTTTACCTTAACATAAATACCACAGTGATATGGTGATAATAAACCTAAACAAATGGACTAAAAAATTAAAAATGCCACAAGCATAGCTAGGACCAGCATGTAGAAGCTAGAGTATCAACAAGTGCTGGACAAGAGGTAAAGCTATAAATATCCAAAAGTCAATTGAAATCAACACTGAAAAGGATCTAATTTCTATTTTCCAGATATGTCTGACTGCTTCAGTTGCCCAAGGGATCAATACCCCAGCAAGGACAAAAATGGATGTATCTCCAAAACAATGAGCTTTCTCTCCCATGAAGAACCTTTAGGGTTCAGCTTACTCTCAGTTGCTGTTTCTTTTTCCCTGGTCACAGCCTCCATACTAGGAATTTTTATTAAGCACAAAGATACCCCCATTGTCAAAGCTAACAACCGTGACCTCACCTACACTCTCCTCGTCTCCCTTCTGCTCTGCTTCCTCTCTTCATTGTTATTCCTTGGACAACCTGAGAAAGTCACCTGCCTTCTTCGCCAACCCACTTTTGGCATCATCTTCTCTGTGGCTGTTTCTTGTGTGTTGGCAAAAACTGTCACAGTGGTAGTAGCTTTCATGGCCATCAAACCAGGGTCCAGCATGAGGAAGTGGGTGGGGAAACGTCTAACTAATGGGATTGTCTTTTCCTGCTCTCTTATTCAAGCAAGCACATGTACTGTGTGGTTGGCAACCTCTCCCCCATATCCTGATTTAGACATGCATGCAGCAACTGAAGAAATCATTGTGAAATGTAATGAAGGGTCTGCCGCCATGTTTTACTGTGTTCTGGGATACATGGGCTTCTTAGCCATCATCAGCTTCCTTGTGGCATTCCTAGCCCGCAAGCTACCCGACAGTTTTAATGAAGCCAAGTTCATTACATTCAGTATGTTGTTGTTTTGCAGTGTGTGGTTGTCCTTTGTTCCAACATACCTAAGCACCAGAGGAAAATACATGGTGGCTGTGGAGATCTTCTCTATTTTGGCCTCCAGTGCTGGGTTACTGGCTTGTATCATTTTCCCGAAATGCTACATTATTATGTTAAGGCCTGAATTGAACAGCAGGGACCAACTAGTAAGGAAAATGAATTAAAATATATTTATGTTTTAATTTACAGTGGTACCTCTGGTTACATACGCTTCAGGTTACATACGCTTCAGGTTACAGGCTCTGCTAACCCAGAAATAGTGCTTCAGGTTAAGAACTTTGCTTCAGGATGAGAACAGAAATCGTACTCCGGCGGTGCAGCAGCAGCAGCAGGAGGAGGAGGCCCCATTAGCTAAAGTGGTGCTTCAGGTTAAGAACAGTTTCAGGTTAAGAACAGACCTCCGGAACAGATTAAGTACTTAACCCGAGGTACCACTGTATTCATTATAGTATCTGAGAACAGAAATGATTCCATCTTCTCTATTTTGGCCTCCAGTGCTGGGTTACTGGCTTGTATCTTTTCCCCAAAATGCTACATTATTATGTTAAGGCCTGAGTTGAACAGCAAGGAAAAACTAGTAAGGAAAATGAATTAAAATATATTCATGTTTTAACTTATTCGTTATAGTATCTGTGAACAGAAATGATTCCAGACATTGTCCTGACCTTGTATTGTCTTACTGTTCAATAGCTTTTTAGAAGAAAATGGGATGGGCTTAGAGGTTTTGCACTTGGTGTTGCGCCAGAAAGACAGATTGGGGATGCTGCTGGTCCACTGACCACCCTGTTGTCAAACAGCATCCCTGAGAAAGAGGAGACTAAGAGGAGATATGATGGCCATCTTCAAATATTTTAAGGGCTGTGACTTGGAAGATGGAGCAAGCTTATTTTCTCCTGCTCTGGAGGGTAGGAGCCAAAGCAATGGCTTCAAGGAAAGAGATTTTGACTAAACTTCAGGAAGAACATTCTTCCTGTTTGACAGTGGAAGAGACTCTCTTGGGAGGTTGTGGGTTCTCGTTCCTTTAAGGTTTTTAAGCAGCGGTTGGATCTGCTATGTATACCTTAGTTTAGAGTCCTGCATTGCAGGTGTCAACGGGTGGGGTGGTTGCTCGAGAGTAACCAGGCAGGACTCCGACCTGTCTTTTACAGGATTTATTATTGGTGCAAACTATTTACAGTCAAGAGCATCATAAGTTCATGTCTGGCTCAATCAGCAGAATCCAGGAGCGGTCTGTTTTTGTACCTCCCCCAACATTAAAGTTTAATCACCCCCAGCCTTTCCCAGCCCTCCCTGCACCTCAAGCTACTGCGCATGACCGGGGATGGCAAGGGTGTGCTGCCCTCCTCTCCGGCTTGCTCAGGCCCAGTGTTAAGGCTCTCTCTAGCATCCTCTCCCCCTTGCACCTCTTCTCCACTGGAGGTGGGGGTTTCCTCCTTGCCGGAAGAGGAACTACTTCACAAGATTTTTGGAGGATCCCTGTAACACAATTCCCCCTCTATCTCTCGCCTCTGAGCCGATGGCAGTTCCCTGACAGCAGGGAGTTGAACTATATGACTCTTGGGACCCTTCCAACTCTGTGATTCTCTATGTGCCCACTTTACCCCTTCATTTGGTAGATCTGATATATCTGTAAGAACTCAATCATTTAGGGTGTTGGCACCAACACTTTGGAGCTACCTGCCTATTGCAGCTTCCCCGGAGTGGCTGGGGAAACCCAGCCAGATGGGTGGGGTATAAATAATAAGATCATTAAAATTATTATTAATAATAATTCCAGGTAGGTGCCTGCTTGCTGAAGATATTCTTATTTGAACAGGCCCACCCAGATGTTTAGAAAGTTTGTATGCATTTTAATTTGCTGCAGAATTCTAGTATTGCTTTAACTTTATGTATGTTTTAAATTATAGTTGTATTTTTTTAGTGATAATTCTATTGCTTTATCTTGTTTGTAAACCGCTTTGAGGTTTCAAGCAGTACACACATTTTATTAAACAAATAAATAATAAAGAAAATGCCTAAATATTAGTGTCTGTTAAGTGTGAATACTACTGTATTGAACTGATTCCTCAATATATTTGGGATTTAGGGATATAGACCATTAGATGTTCAAAATATGCCCTTCCAAAATGTCAACAAGCTTCTTTCCAAAGTTTCCCTCTAAACCCAGAATAGGGAAAAGACGACACATTTGGTAAGTTTACTTGCAAACACTTTAAAGGTAAGGTTCATGTGCTTCATAAATATTGCTCATGGGAGTAAAACCTAGCTTAGTCAGAAGTGGTAAAGGTTCCTAAATAATTTGTATAGGACAGAGGCTTTCAAACGTTTTGATTCCACAGCTCCCTAGACCAACTACATTCATTCTGTGGGTTTCAGGACCCCAGTTATAATACCCTTTGCCTGCAGAGCTGGCAGCCTCTCACCCCCTCAATCACATATCTTGCAATACACACACACAATAACTTATATGTTTGTTTCAAAATTTCCTGCTTAAGCTGGAGCCCAAACTCTCAAGAAGTAATTATCTCCCTCTGCAAACATTATAATTACTATAATTTTGTCGATCTTTCACAGCTGCAGATGTTTTCCAGAAGACTCAAGCTAGCCATGAAAATGCAAGCTTGAAGTAGGTATAAATAACCCCCAGTGTATGTAAGAACTGGGAATAGGAGCAAACTGCAGTCTGGACTCTGTCAGTTTTACCTCTATCAGTTTCCCCTTTATTGATATTATTAGCCAGACTTAAATTAGGAGCATTGCTTTTCAGTGACTTGCATCACTATCTCGCTTGCTGCTTGCTGTAGTTGGTGACTGCCCAGTTCAGCCTGTTTAAGTCAGGCTGTTTCTTTGAATGAACAAAAGACAGCTTGCATCTAGAATGGTGGTCTATCTTCTCTTTCTAAAGACATGTGAATTAGATACTGGTCTGTGTCCCATGAATGATCCCCTCCCTGTTCCACATGAGTGGTACCAGCAAGGTGGCATCCTCATTGGTGGGGTTGCTTCTCAGATCCTGTATCATTTTTCAAAACCTGATTTCAGAGAACATCCTTCGGAAGAGTTATATAACTTTCCAGAGTAAGGAAAACTCCCCATCTCACCCCCTAGTTCCTGCTCTATCTTGCTGTTTTCCTTGATCTCCTTGATCTCCTTCTGTAGGCACTGTAAGACAGAGCTATTCTGCCTGGCCTTCAATTTGAATTAGCCTGATCCTGTATTCCCTTTTCCCTTTCCTCTTCTATGAAGAAACCCTTTCTGGGACCCCACATTTAAATTCTTCCATGGTCTCCTTGCTGGCCCTAGTAGTACCAACTTGGCCAGTTAGCCCTGGTGATCATTTGATGTCTACTGACTGGGTTTTTTTCCTTTCCCAAATGACCCCGGAATTTTTGAATTTTATTGATATTGATGCTGCATTTTATGTTGTATTTTATGCTGTTTGATGCTGGTTTTAAGTTGCATTTTAATCAATGTTTTATATTTGCTGTTAGCAGCCCTGATCCCGGTTTTTAAACCTGGAAGGTTGGGGTATAAATAAATTATTATTATTATTATTATTATTATTATTATTATTATTATTATTATTATTATCACACACTCCAATTACAGTTTATTGATGTATGATGATGTTCAAGGAAAGGGTCTGTAGACTTGACCTAACCTTGGAGAATAGTTGTCCTTTTCAAATTCCTGAAGAAATCTTCTTAGATCCCTTATGTTTTCCATGAAATTTGCTCCATTCTCTTTAGAAAAACAAAAACAGAACCCTGCTTAATATTTTTCTGTAAGGTTTTTTTTTCTTTTGCTTTTCCTGAGTAAAACATGATCACAAAAAAATGTTGATAGGAGTGGTTCAGTGTGACGAGAGAAAGCACCTTCAGAAACCTTCAGAGGCTTGTCCACAACACAGGCATTCTAACTTTTCATACATTTTTCCTTTGATGTTTCTGTACTGGGAAACCTACTTTCTCATATAAGCCTTACACATTCTACTAAATGTAAAGAAAAAAAGACTTGTTCTTCTGGGAGACCTTTCTATATTGGAAAGCAGAGTGAAAGATTTAGGTATGCATGCACTGATGTATCAAATAGTTCTGGCTTAGAGTCAACAGGAAAGGTATTGGGGGAAATAAGCAAAATGAAAGTAAGATGTTAAAACCCAACAATAGACGGTTTCAAAAAAAATGTGCAAAAGTACAGGAAAGCTCCAGAATAAAAAAGGGGGAAGGAAGTAAAGCCATTACAATTTTGCATGATTACAAAACGGAATTTGTGAAGGGTCCAGAATGCTCAATAGTATTTCAGATTGATCCACTTTGATCCCCTTTCTACAGTATTAAGCTATTGCAGGGTTAATGAGTAGAACTAGCAATGGACTGAGGAGGTATTTATTGGCTCAGAAAAACCATTAATGTGTAAAAGGATAGTCTTTAAACCTAAACAATTTACATACAGAAATTGCAAAAATTGTAGTTTCAAAACTTTATGAATTGCATAATTCAAAATAATAATGTCAATTCTGTTGGCAGAGTGCTGATAAAATTCTACCAGGACATCCTTTCCCTGGCATTTGCTGTCAAGGAGATCAACAAAAGTTCCAAGATTTTGCCCAATGTCACACTTGGATTCCATATCTATGACAGCTACTATGATGGAAGACTGACCTATCGGACAACTCTAGATCTGCTCTTCAAATCACACAGATTTGTCCTCAACTATCATTGTGACACACAGAAAAACCTCATAGCTGTCATTGGTGGACGTGACATTGATACCTCTTCCCTTATGGAAGACATTTTAGGTCTCTTCAAGATTCCACAGGTAGGAGCTGTGAATGGAGTGTTGTGGATTCTCACAAACTGTTCTCTTCCCTTGTCATGGTCATTGTGATTTTGTGTCCCAGAAAAGGGGGGTATACTCCAGTTGCATTACCAGGCCTTGAGAAAATTCCACAAGAAATGTACATGGTGGCTGCTGTCACTGAACCAATGAAATGATTCAACAAATAATGGTTGAATAAAGAGGCACATGCTGACGGAGAATGCTGGCAATCTTCATATCCTATATCTGCACATTTTAGAAAGAAAAGCTAACATATACTTCATTGCCACTAAAGGATTATGATACAGTTCTTTGCATTTTCCAAATGGTGGTCCATGAATCT